CTAGGGGCAGCTAGAGCTGGACCTGGGAGACCAGGGCTCCAGGCCTAGCTGTCTACACTGTGACCTTGGCTCTAAGATCCTCAATTTTCCCAGCCATACAAAGAAGGTGTATAACTGGGTAGGGCCCTTATCAGCTCTAAGCTTTGAGAGGATAGAAATTCAGCCTAGATTGAAGGATGGGTAGGGTTGGGGCAGATGGGGAAGAGGGCAGCCTTATCCCAGAAGCAGAGGCATGCACAGGGAAGCAATAGAGCGCGCGCGCGCATGTGTGTGTGTGTGTGTGTGTGTGTGTGTGTGTGTGTGTGTGTGTGTGTGTAGAGTTGAGCTACTCGTGTGGATTCCTGGCTTCACCAATACGGGACTTTGAGCAAGTTATTTAGTTCTCTGAACCTCTGTATTCTCTTAAAAATGGGAATGGGACTCAGCTGGTGTTACTCAGTGGTTAAGCATCGACCTATGAACCAGAAGGTTATGGTTCGATTCCTGGTCAGGGCACGTGCCTGGGTTGCGGGCTTGATCCTCAGTGTGGAGCATACAGGAAGAAGCTGATCAACGATGCTCTCTCATCATTGATGTTTCTTTCTCTCTCTCTCTCTCTCTCTCTCTCTCTCTCTCCCTCTGTGAAATCAATAAAAATATATTTTTAAAAAAATAATAAAATGAGCCCTAACCCATTTTGGCTCAGTGGATAGAGCGTCGGCCTGCGGACTCAAGGGTCCCAGGTTCAATTCCAGCCAAGGGCATGTACCTTCATTGCGGGTACATCCCCAGTAAGGAGTGTGCAGGAGGCAGCTGATCGATGTTTCTCTCTCATCGATGTTTCTAACTCTCTATTTCTCTCCCTTCCTCTCTGTAAAAAATCAATAATATATATATATTTTTAAAAATAATAATAATAAGATGGGAATGGGCCTGGCCAGCATGACTCAGTGATTGAGCATTGACCTATGAACCAGAAGGTCACAGTTTGATTCCCATTTAGGGTATATGCCCGGGTTGTGGGCTCCATCCCCAGTGTGAGACGTTCAGGAGGCAGTTGATCAATGATTCTCTCTCATCATTGATGTTTCTGTCGCTCTCTCTCTTTCTCTCTGAAATCAATAAAAATATTAACAAATTTTTTAATGGGAATGGGAATTATACCTACCTATGGTAGACCCCCAAAAGGCCCCCCTCCAAGATGTCTGCATCCTAAACCCTCATAACCACAAATATATTACCTTAGATGGCAAAGAGAACTTTGCAGATTAAGTTAAGGAATCTTTTTTTTTTTTAATCCCCACCCAAGGATATTTGTCCATTGATTTTTAGAGAGTGGAAGGGAGGGGGAGAGACACACAGAGAGAAACATCAATGTGAGAGAGACACATCAATTGGTTGCCTCCCATGGGATTGAGCTTGCAAGCGAGGTACATGCCCTTGACCAGAATCAAACCTGGAACCCTTCAGTCTGCAGTGAGATGCTCTATCCACTGAGCGAAACTGGCTGGGGCAAGTTAAGGATTTTGAGATGGGAAGATTCCCCCAGATTATCCAGATGGGTCCCTATACAAGAGTATAAGAGGGAGGCAAGAGGGTAAAGTGGACAAGGAAATGTGATGATGGAAGCAGAGGCTGGAGTGACGTGCTTAGAAGATGGAGGAAGAGGCCGTGAACCAGGGAATACAGGTGGCCTCGGGAAGCTAGAAAAGGTCAGGAGACCGATTCTCCCCTCAAGCCTCCTGGAGCACAGTCTGCCAACACCTTCAGGTGCGGACGTCTGACCTCCAGAACTAAAGGGATAAATGTCCACTTTCAGTCACCAAGTTTGTGGTAATTTATTATAGCAATAACGGGAAGCTAACATGTTACCTACGTTTACATAGTAAGTGAAGATTAATTAAGATAATAAGTATACTGTGTTTTACCCAGTGTCTGCTCAATAATATTGGATATTATTTCTCTTCCCAGCTTAGTCATAATCGTTTCCACAGGCCATCAAGTTCCCACATGCAAAATTTGTTGTTGCTTTTACCTGTGAGGCCCACTCAGGATTTATGGCCTGGGGAGCTGCACCAATGAGCTCATGACAGTTTCTAATGTATGGCCTTAGGGGATGGCTCCTGGCACTGCTTTTATTTATTTAACTTTCTGCCTGGTTGCTTTCCTTTTAGCCAGAAGCCAAATCAACAGCCTCGCTGGTCTCTTTCCAGAGTTCAGATGTCTTGCTCCCTGTCCAGGTATTCCTGCTCTCACAGGGAAACTGGTGGCCCATCTGGTCCCAGTCCAGCTCCCAGAGACGGTCCATCAGGGGGTCCAGGTGACAGACTCGAGTCACCCAGAAGAAAGACAAGCAGGTTCCCAGTGGGGTTGAGAATCGGCCTCTTAGCCAGGAGAGAGGAGACCTGGTGTTGTGCCCTGGGTGACTGGGGCCTCAGTTTCCCCATATCTACAATAGAGGTTCTAAGCCCCACCCTGGCTCCCTCACAGACTGCTCTGTCCTTCACTGAGACAGTAGATGAGGAAGCACTTTGGAATGGCCAAAGGGTGTAAAAATGGTAGGACTAAAGAGGAAGGAGAAAAGGAAGAGGAGAGGCAGGAGTCGCATGTACCTTCCTGGGTTAAAGTCGCCCATGCTTCAGAGGCTCCCCTTCCCCCAGGGGTGCTCTGACCCCGAGATATAAACCTACCACGTTTTCCTCTGAGGGATCCCGGCCCAGGTGTCCCCACAGGGGCCTGGAAGTGGTCCCCAGATGGGATCACTGTCCCAGAGCTTTAGCTTAGCCCCAACCAGCTTTCCAATTCCTGAACCAAAGGCCACCTCAGCACTCCAGCCACACATTAGAAATAGTTCTGTCGGCTCATTTTCAACAGAATCATTATCTTAGTTTATGAAGAAAACACAAAGTTTCAGTTAATTTTAGTCCCCGCAATGCCTGGAAGCTATAGCAACCAATCCTATAAAAACATACATCTGTTCAGATGGCAAAACAGATCTCTGAGGAATCTGCCAGCACCCTGTATGGACAGCTGAGCAGAGCATCATTAGCTCTGGCTTTGGACCAGGGAGGGGCCTTGGTGGTCACCCAGAGCAGATCCTTCCTGGGATTTCTGACTAGTCCCTTTGAGGACCTGGAAAAAGCCAGGGACCTTCTCTGCAGAAAAACGCATAGATGCCCAAAATTTCCATCCAATTTTTGTAGGTTTGAGGATCTCTGAAGACCAGCGTTCAGCACGATTCCAGGCTGGAGCCCTATCAGAAGACAATGCCCTCATTGATTCGAGCCAACCTTGTGTCGGCCACTGTTCTGGACACCGGAGCACTGCTGTGAGCAAGGCACGTGAAGCCCCTGCTCTCATGGAGCTTCCGTCTCGCGGGGAGCGTTCCTCATCGTGACAAGTTCGAGGAAGCAGATAAAACAGCGTCAGGTGACACACTGTGCCAGTGAGAGAGGGAAGGAGGCTGGTTTAAGTTGGGTGGTCAGGGAGGCCCTCTCTTAGATGACATCAGGGCAGAGGCCGGAAGGATGAGGAAACTGGAGGCACAGGAAAGGCAGATGGAAGAATGCTCTTGCTAGAGGTGAGAGCAAGTGCAAAGATCCTGGGGTGGGAGTAACGTTGGGGCTGCTGTGGAACTAAAAGGAAGCTCGTGGGACTGAAGTAGAGTGAGCAAGGAGGACAGTGAGGAGGCGAGGAGGCCACGTGGTGCAGACGCTTATGAGAACGTTCTCCGCCTTCTCCCTTCGTATGTTATTCAAACCCAGTCCATGCTTCAAGATCCACCTCTTGCCCTGACCGGTTTGGCTCGGTGGATAGAGCGTGGGCCTGTGGACTCAAGGGTCCCAGGTTCTATTCCAGTCAACGGCATGTACCTTGGTTGTGGGCACATCCCCAGTAGGGAGTGTGCAGGAGGCAGCTGATCGATGTTTCTCTCTCATCGATGTTTCTAACTCTCTATTTCTCTCCCTTCCTCTCTGTAAAAAATCAATAAATATATATATTTTTTAAAAAGTTCCACCCCTTCCAGGAAGCCTTCTCTGCCCGCTCCTCCCTGGCATCCCTACCATGAGCCCCCTGGGGATCTGCCTCAGAGTCTGTCCCACTCATGTATCCATAGGGCATGTCCTCTCAGCAAGACCCAAAGCTTCTGGAGGACAAGGGCCAGATAGTCATTCTGGTTCCTCCAACCAGGACCGAAAGCGCTGAGAAGTCCATGGAGCATCAGTCTGAATCACGCTGAAGGTGGAACCAACCTGCCAGGTGGTCTTGGGCAAGTGACCTACCCTCTTTGAGCCTCTGTTTCCTTATCAGTAAAACGGGCATCATAACAATATCTAGGTCAAAGAGTTGCTGTGAAGATCATTCAGGCCTCAGAGAACCTTGGCTACTGTTACTTCTCTGGTTATTTTCAATACCATCGATCACCTTATCTGTTCTATACGGATGACACAGATCTCCCAGCTAGAAAGCCAAGCTCTCATGTGTCTATTTGTGATGTAACTGGAGTTAACAGTGTTTTTTTTTAGACCATATGCCAAATCCTCAGCGAGGATGCCACCAGTGGCAGCTTCTCTTGTCTGTACCGAGGCCAGTCCTCCTGACCTTGCCTTTGTCGCAGACACAAGGCCTTTAAATCGCTTTGCCCTTCTCGGCATGGCCTGGTGTTGGTTGGGCTCCTGTGAAGATTGTTGTCATAAAATCAAGACACTTGGCCTTGGCTCTGCCCCTGGGGGCCCTTGGGCAATCCCTTGCCCCCTCCCAGCCTCGGTTCCCCTTTGAACAACGGGGAGGCTGTTCTAGGTGATTCCTGAGGCCCTTCCAACCCTGGCACTCGGTGAGTCCATTTAGGCAGCAGCCCCAGAACCCAGGAGGCAGGCAGCGGCGTTGGGAAGTCTGGCCAGGACAGCCCACCACAAGGAAAGGAAGAGAGAAATGGGAGACAGAGACAGCTTTGGCTGGGGGTGGGGGTAGGGGCGGGGGAAGGAGGAGACAGAGGAGTGGGAGGGACCTCCACAGCCCCGAGCTCTGAGTGGTTTCCTGTTGCCCCGCTCTAAACCCCTCCACATTCCCGCAGACCTTCAGACTGCCGGAGCGCACTCAGCCTGCTGCCTGCCTGCCTGCCACTGAGGTATGCACGACCCTGCCCTGCCTCTCCCTTCTATATCCGACACCCCGGTTCACCCCTCCAGTGCCTGCACAGGGAGGGGAAGCTGTGCTAGGGATCTGGGTCGGGGAAGGGGGTGCGCATCTTCTTTGGGCTCCCCTGAGGGCAGGGGCTACACGGACTCTCTAAAAAGCCTGTTGCTTTTCAGGTGCAATCAGTGTAACTTCCAGGTTTGCAGGAAATAATCTCACTGTGTCCTGGAGGGGGACGCCACTCTGTGTGGCTCTGGTTTGAGAGGCTGCCTGCCTGTCCCCTTTGCTCCCTTTGCAAATGTGGCAGCCTCCTCCTTCCCTGGGAATCTGATCTGGTCACAGCTGCAGAGGGGACCGGCCGGCAGCCAGGGTCTGCCCGGCTCCCCGCTCCAGGGGAAGAAACTTCCTGGACTCGGGTCTTGGTCAGGGGCTCTGTTTTCTAAAAGGGACTTTGCATGAACAATAAACTAATCTCCAGAAGGCTAAGGGGGTGGGAGTGGGGGTTTACCTTTAATTAGCACCTTCCGGAAGGCTCCCGTTTCCTTGAATTCTCCCTTATCCACATCCCCACCCCCAGACACAGACACTGATTCCAGAGGTCCCTGTGCCTTGGGCTGGGCATTGCTCCCCCCTGGGCTCCTGGGGTGTAAACACAATCAACCACTAGCAGTGGCGCTTAGAGAGTCTAGATCTGAAGACTCAGGCGTCTGGTGTGGTCCAGCCAGGGTGCTGGGCCTAAGGTAGGCTGCTGGGTGTGTGTGTGGGTGAGGGGGTGGGGGGTGGGGGTATGTGCTGAGAAGAGGAAAGGGAAAAGGCAAGACCGAGAAGGTTCCAGGGCAGTCTTCCCACACCTCCCAGCTTTGAGAAGTCCAAACCCTACAGAGGACCAGTGCTTTGCCTTCAGGGTGTTAGGTCTGGCCCTGCTGGCTGGTTGAGGGGTAGGCTTCCTGAGTCCAGGGGGCACCGAGAGAAAAGGGGCCCTGGCCTGAGGCAGGTCTTCCAGGAAGCCCAGTCTGCCCAGAAGTGCACAGAGAGGCGCACATTTCCCCCCGGAGAGGATAGTATTCTGCACAGAACACAGAGAGACAATGTTCTCATCAGCCACACTCTAGGGCCGAGTGTCTATACACCCCAAGTGCTGATGGTAGCGTGAGAAGCTCATGGGAAGCAGAATGGCAGGCGTTAGGCGTTCTGTGTGTGGTCGTGGGTAAGTGACTCCTCCGGACTTAGTGTCCCTGCCTGTAAAGTAAGGGTTGGCCTTGAGGGGCTGTGGGGCACCTGACATCCCATCCTGTGAGACTCTCAAAGGAAGGTCTCTTACACTGGGATCCACAGAGTCGCCTGTGAATGGGCTTCAAGGCATCTGCAAGCCCCTTAAAACACTGGGCAGCAGTGTGTGTGTGTGTGTGTGTGTGTGTGTGTGTGTGTGTGTGTGTGTGTGTTAGAGAGAAATAGAGAGAGCACAAGAGGGTGTTTGCAGCCTGAAAATATTGTCAGATGGACGCACGGCCTCCAAAATAGCCAGAGGGCATGGTGTGGGAGGTGAAGTGGATGGGGACTGGGAGCTCATGTATATTTGCAGGAGGATTAAACAGTTTGAAATAGAAATGGTTGGGGGAAGAGAGAGTTAACTCAGCCATCAGCTGCCACATCGACAAAGCCTGGAGCAGAGGGAGGGAGGGAGGGTGGGGTGGAAGGGGGGGTGCCTGGAGAAGGAATCAACTTTTGAAACTTTCTCCAAGTCCCACCCACTGAAAGGCTCTTCTCTGCCTGACTCACTGTGGGAGGAATGCGAGTTGCCACGGTAACCCCTTTCAGGGTCTTTGCCTGCTGGCTGGGAGGGGATGCTGGGAACACTCCAGAGTACATCAGGCTCAGACTGAATGTCCCCCACTCCACTGTGACCCCAAAACTAAAAAAGGAGGCTGAGGCCCTACCTGCTGCTCTCCCAGGACCCCAGGGCAGCTATGGGGCTGTGATACGCTTCCCAGACAGGGTTTTGAAGACCTGAGTTTTAGTTCCACCTTTGCCCAGAAGATGCCATTTGATCTTGAACTAGTAACTTCTCCTTTATGAGCCCCTGTTTCCTCCTCGGTTAAAGAGCAGTAGCAACAGCCACCTGGCAGGGAAATTACGTGGGCGAAATGGGATACGGCGCAGGGAAGCACTTGCTAAAATGTGGCCCCCCACCTACTGCATGGGTTTTTAGAACTGATGGATTTATGGCATCCAAAGGGTTGGTGAAATCGTCCCCAGCTTTTATTTTTTTGTGTGGCAGCTCCATCATCCTGGGGGTTGTATACAACTTCCCTTTACTAAAAGTGCAGACAGTCATATTAAAAATACACTATTTAGATTCAATTTGGTTTGGGCCTCTTCTTGAGTATTTCCCAAGAGTATTGTATCCTCCAGTGCTGACCGAGCACTGGTCCAGGCACCAGCAGGGGTGGGTCCTAACTCATAGTGAGTGACATTGGGACAGATCCTTCCCATCCCTTGGCCTCCATTTCTCAATCTGTTAAACGGGAAATCTAGCCTAGATGGTCTCTAGTAGCCCTTCCTGCTCTGAAGTCCTGCAAAACGAAATCCAAGATGCTGCCTTCATTAGAAGGAAGAGCTGGCCTACATTTTTAACACCCTCTGTTCCCAAAGTTGAAAAGGAAACAACAGAGGAGGGGCCATAGCATCTTGGGTTGCATAACAATCCTGATAAAATCTTTATCCATCTGTAGAGACTTGTCAGCCAATAGTATGACTGGGGCTTGGTATTCATAAGAGCAGCTTTTCTTGCTGAAAACAAGCTATAAATAGGAAAGGATGGTGGGAGAAAGGCAGGAGCTGAGATGTGACATAAATAGGAGGGTGTTTGATTTTGGGTGTTATTTAGATAGGTAGCTAAGTATGCAGAGGTAAACAGGGACAGACACACACACACAAGGATGCAGAATATAGCCATTATTTCATCAATAGGCACCTATTGGCACAGCCAAAAACAAATGCCGATCAATACATGAGCAGACCCAGAGGTCATGCACCCAAATCCCTGATACCTTGACTCACAGACAGGTTCCAGATAAATATCCTGCTGCATATGCAAACTCTACCCTCACCTGGACAGGCCGAAACAGACAGACGCTGTCAGGCAGACACACACACAGGCACACAGAGGCAGCTTCACACAGAAGTCCCCAGTCCATAGGAAACTTACACAGACACACTGGCAGGTGTGCAAACACAACTGCCATTTGCAGCCACATACAGATGTGCGCGCAGCCAGACACAACTATAGGGCATGATGGGAAGATAGACCCGTTACATACATCCATACATACAGCACCAGATCACTGTTACATTTCCCAGGTAGAGAAACTGAGACTCAGCAAGGGAAATAACTCACTCAAGGCCTCACAGCAAAGTGCCTGAGCCAACCTTCCAGATGTTTGGAAATATCCAGATGTTCACCTTGCTTTTTTTCTGTTTTTCATCTGATCAGTGTTGTCACATCTACACACCTCCCTCTAGGCAACAAGCCCCATGGATAATGAGCAGTATCTCCTCTCCTTTGCTGCCTGCCGTGGCCTGTCCCAGTCCCCCGGCGTTGTCACTGGGGCAGCCTGGCCATGTGGCTAATCGGCAGCTGCTGATCCCCTCCCCAGCCTCTGTCTTTAAAGGAGAGAGGGAGGGAGGCTGGAGCTGCTGAGCTTTCACTGACCAGGGGGATTCGGGAAGCTACCTTTCCTCTCCATCACAGAGCCTGACTCCCAACCCCAGTCCTGAATCAGGGACGGCCGGGCTGAGCAGGGCCAGAGTCAGCAAGCAGTGACTTGACACAATTATTTAGAAAAACAGCCTCCTCTTCACCCAGGAGGAGGTGTCTTAGACAGGAATGTAACTCTGCTCTCACTCTTCAAGCCATAGAGCCTGGAGTCTGGAGGGGCAATATGGGTGGGATACAAGCTCTCTCTTGGCCTGGGTTCCTTCAGAAGCTTGGTATGAACCTCCCTCATCAGGAGATCCCTCTGAACCATCTTGTGTTAGCTGTGGCATTAGGATTCCAGACTGACCAGATGAAAAAGGAAACAAAACCAAACAAGGTTAACGTCTGGAAGTTTGACTCAGCCACCCGCTTGCTGTATGACCTGGAGTGAGCTGTTTTCCCTCTCTGATCCTCAAGGTTTCTGTTGCTAAAACCAGAAACATGACAAAGAGGTTTCATCACAGGTTTCATTATGAAATTCACAAGCCATGGGTAGTGGCTGCCAGAAAACTGTTCAGGATTCAGATGCCACTCTGGACTTCAGGGGGAAAGGTCATATCATTGATTAGTAATGTCTGCCACACGCACAGGAGGAGCAGGTGGAGGCATATATGCCACGTAGTTGCCATCTTTAGGACTGGACATTTGGATGTTATTTCTCATCCCCTCCATTTGTGGTCACAGGAATACAGCAGTGGCCCCTAGGGGGAGCCAAGGAGCAGAGCCTGAAGCTCCACCCCTGGGCTCCTCCTAACAGTGGTGAAACGTGGCATGGTAGACGCCTGATTTCCAGGCTCAAACTCTGGGCCTATTTCTGAGTTGCCCCAGAACCTCTTCAATCCTAAGCTTGAGCACCCATCACACCCTAAAATTTTCCCTGTCTTCTTCCCTTCCAGCAAGAAATATTAGGAGTGGAAGCGGAGTTGAGGGCAAGGTGGGAGAGGTGATATTCCTAACCTGCTGCCTGAGTTGACTCAGAAGTCAAGAACCTTAGGGACCAGCTTGCCCAGGGTGTTCAAACTATGTTCATAGGCACCCCGAGACGCTCCAAGGCACCTCAGGCGTGTCCGAGTGTGCAGGGCTTCCGGCCCTGTCTCCACTCCACTTTTACTGGCTTTTCTTTTCTAATTTCAAGCTGATTTAGTGAATAGATAATAATACATTCACATGTTTCGACAAATGCAAAAGGGTTTTAGCTGTTTCCTGTGTTGGACTTCAGCAGGGAAGGAAGGGCTCTCTGGCAACCATAATTCTGAACACCACTGATCTAAACAACCTCTTCATTGTGCAGATGAGTGGGTAGGTGAGGTCCAGAGCACAGAGCAGCCTTCCCTAAGTTTGCTGGGCCACATCGCCAAGACGCGATCTCAGGACTCCCGGCTTTCACGTTGCCTCCAGTGGCTGTGCAGCTCCCCGGCCTGTGAGTGCCAGTTTGGCCTCACGGGCCGCTGTGGCGCCTCTCCGGCGTGGCTCGGCTCTCTTTCCAAGTCCCAGCTCCCTGGCAGGCCTGGCTCACGGGTTCCTTTTTAGCCTCTCGACTTGTTTTCCTCTCTTTGGGCTTGTTTACCGTGAACGTGTGTTTTTGGAAGCCTTGTTTCCAAGCCAAACAGTGGGAGCGAGATGCTCGTTTTGCGTCAGTAGCTCAACTAAAAGGCCAGCCTGGAGGCGGGGCTGGTTTCCCCTGGACCCCGAGGAGCAGTGTCTCCTTTGTTCCACCCTGACGGCCTTTCTCCCTGGGCCACAAAGAGCTGGTATTCCTGCCCTGGATTCTTGAGGGGGATGGAGAGTCTGGGATCCTTGGGGTTTAAGATGCTTTTCCAGATGACATTAAGCAATGGACTCCCTCATGTGTATCGCCATGTGTATCGCCTGGGAGTTTTCCAAGGTAGGTGAGTTACTTCCGAAGTGACTTGAGGCCCAGAGAGTGAAGGTCACTCTTCGAAGGTCACACAACTGCTAAGTAGCAGAGCCAGGATTTGAACCTGTACATTGCATCTCCCAAATCCTATGATTCTGAGATCCCCCCCCCTCCCCAGTTCTGACGTTCAGCAACTTTTCGGTGTCCAGGGAGACCCGGAGGAAGCCCTTTATGTGCGAGGGAGATGAACCGGGGGGCTGGCTGTACTTTTCCATCCCCAGAGTCCTTTCAAAGAGAGAAGTGACCTCAGCCTCAGGTCCTGCTGGCAGCCAGGGTTGGGTTCTCAGCCATCTCCAGAGCAAATAAAGGCAAAGGAAGGGACTTGATGTACCGAACAGGAGGTGGCGGCAGCGGTGGGGTGGGGGGAGCGGTGCCTGCATTTGGTGACCACCCGGCCAAGGGAAACACACCTCCTCTGCCTCTCCTGGCCTGGGCCCCCCTTCCTCCTTGCACCTTGGCCAGTTCACAGCCCAGCTGGGCGTCATTCAGGTGAGCACCCGGGAGGGAGCGGCCGCCAAGGGAAACTGAGGTGGAGAGCAGCCAGTGGTGCAGTGGGGCCGTGGGTCCTCATTCAGCCCCGCCACTCACTACCAGGGGCTCTTGGCAGGTCCTTCCCGCCCTGGGCCTCAGTTCCCTCGCCTGGGCCATAGGGTAGAAAGACAGGCCATGAGGCCCCAGTGGGATGCTGGATTGTGAAAAGATGAACAGAGGCATCATCACAAATGCAAGAGACGCACAGAAGGGAGTCGTCACTGACTACTGGCCATTTACATGAAGGTGTTCATATTTTCACCAGGCCTCGGTTTGATTAGCAAAGGAGGTGTGCACAGCTGAGAAGCTGAATGTCGGGGTTGGACCCTGTGTCCTGACCTTGCTGAGGTTACTGTGGTACCCCATGAGCTCTGCGGGATGGGCGCCTGCCCTCGTTGGCCAGGGGTGCCTTCGAGAACCTCAGAGATGGACTGCATGGCTCTGCAGGGGGCGCGGCTGTGCGTTAACAAGAACAGCCCAGCTGCTCCCCTTCCCTCGGTCTCATCACCTGGGACTGGTGATGTGGCCCAGGGCAGGACCCAACATTTGGAAAACAACTCGTCCTCCAAGATTGTGGGTCCTTTTCTTTTTTGAAATGAGAGAGAATCATTGATCTGCTGCCTCCTGCACACCCCCTACTGGGGACTGAACCGGTGACCTCGTGGTTCATAGGTCAACGCTCAACCACTGAGCCACTGTGGCCAGGCTGGGTCCTTTTCTTAATGCTTTCACTGTCTGAACTCCTCCCCCACCTTTACACCAGTCTTGGAACATCACCCCTATCAGGCCCATCCAATTCCATGACCTGGATGTTACATGACTTCCTCTCTCTCAGCCGCAGACTCCCCACCGGGAAAGTGGGCCTAGGACCCTCCCCTACCTGTCTGCCTGCCGTGTGTCGGAGGCTCTAAGGGGACAGCGTGTGAGGCCTTTACTATAAAGCATGGGAGGATTTAGAATCCTTTTCTCTTCTGGCTGCGAAGCCGGGCACGGGGGAGGCAGAAAGGGTGAGCGTGCCGCTGGGAAAGTGCAGGAGGTGATGAGGCAGGACAGGTCCCACAGCCTTCCTCTGGTCGGAGAGGCAGCAGGGTTCCTCCGCTCAGATGAAGGACACGGACTCTGGAGACCAGTCTTCCTGCCTCTCCAACCTGAGCTTATTGCATTTCCGGCCCTGGCTGAGCTGTCTCCAGTGACCCACCCCTCTGTCACTGGAGCCCAGACACAGTGCCTTTTGTGCCCTAGCCACAGTCTCACGGTGGCCTTCAACTTCAGACAGCTCAGACAAGTCCCTCATTGACGCTCTCTCTCCTGCTCCGTCCGTCAGAAGCCACATGCAGGAGGTGTTTGACTTGTGTCTTCCAAATGGGGAGGCAAGAAGGGAGATTTTCCACCTCTAGGCCTGGAGGAACAAGCCTACACTGTGTGCGGGGGGGAACGCTCCCAAAACTGCCTGGAAAGGGAAGACGGGACTTCCCTGGGAGTCGGGGCCATGGGGAAGCAGAGCCAAAGCCCCAGGTCGATGCCTTTATGTTTCTGTTAGTTTTCTATTACGCACACCACAGGAAATAGGAGGTGAGATTTGTGTTTATTTTAATTCAACGAAGGAGCGTCAGGGACTCTGCTCTCTCCTGCCTGCTTCTGCGACTCGCAGACTGTCCGGGCGTCCAAGTGAAGATGCTGGTGCCGGAGCTGACGCTGGGTAGCAAGCCAGCGTGTGCCTGTGGCATTGTAAGGGCTAGTTGCCACCTCCAAGCTCACCTAGTCCAACTCTCTCAGTTGAAGGAAGGGGGCAGCAAGGCCGAGAGAGGATGAAGGACTTTGCCAGCTCACCAAAACACCATTGGGGTAGAATGAGAACCCCTGAATTTCATTCCAAGCCGAGTGGTTTTCCCACACCTCCAAGGTGCTTGGCCAGCTGAGGGGCCTTGGAAGGAACCAGGGATGGTCAGCCTGATCTGAAGGTTTGGGGGGACGGCAGGGGGAAGACAGGGCAACTGCTCCCCTTGCCCAAGAGCCGCTTGGGGGCTGAGGGGCTGTGCTTGCTCTGTTTGGCCACGGGAGGGGGAAGAGAGTAGACCAGGCGAAGCCTGGGGGAGGCAAATTTAGATCAGTCTAAGGAAGAGTTTGAAAATGGAAGCAAGTTTAGTGAGAACAAGAAACAAAATGTCTTCACCACGGACCCGCTGTTAGGGGTGGCACAGCTGGCACGGAATCGCCGGAGGGGGTCCTGCTTCCAGATCCTACCAGTCACGGAAGTCAAGAGTTGAGCATCGAAGGGGTGAGGCCTTAGCAGAGACCAGGGCAGGAGATCTTCCCAGATCCAACGCACACCCTTCAGCTGCGAAGGGGGAAGAGAACACGCAGCACATGTTCGCATTTGGTCAGCTTCCCTACAGGATCCAGAGACAAGCTGCCCGTTCTGGGGAGAACGGAGAAGAGTGCGGCCACCCTCACATTCCACAGGCCCAAGACCATTGTTCTTTGTTTTACAGTGTAGATCTCATTGTCTCAAATTGGCAAGAGGTTGCTGCCTGCTAACTTCTCCCATTGCAGAGGGAAAGGGGGTGGGGGGTGGGGAAGGAAGTGAAGGGAGAGGGAGAGGGAGAGGAGGAGGAGGAGACAGGAGACTAATTCTAGAACGGCAGGACTGAAGGTCCCTTGGACAGGATCTGGCTCAGCATTGTCCAAACTGGCCAATCATCTTCCTGATCACCTTTTAAAAACTTAAAATAAATGTAATGAGGAGGGAGACTCTGTATCATTACTATAAATGGAAAAATCTGTGTACTGTTGTCATCAGTAGAAGGAAGATATAAAAATAAATACAAAGAAGACAAAAGGACTTTGTTGAATTCTAGCTGGAAATAGTTTCCTGTGGAGGCTCTGAGCCGGGGCCTGCTCTCTGGTCTAAAAGAAGGTAGATGAGTGTTAGGTGCTAAAGGTGCCTCAGCATCAACTAAGATGTTTCCATGTAATCAACATGGAAAGAGAACTGAGTAGAAGCAGCTTTCTCCACGTCTTTCACTATCATATAACACGTACATCCAAAATTATCTCGTAGGCCTGGCCGGGTAGCTCAGTTGGTTAGAGCATCGGATGGCCTGTGTTTCTCTCTCTCCTCTCTCTCTCTCTTCTCCCTAAAAATCAATAAATAAAGACTTAAAAATAATAACAAATTATCTTGTACGTCACTGGAATTCAGCAACAGAAGGACCCTCCATCAGAAGCCTCCTACTCACTGATATCTCTCTCCCGCAGGGTTCCCAGCACCATGAAGGCGTGGGTCTTCTTTCTCCTCTGCCTGGCCGGCAGGGCCTTGGCAGCCCCTGTAAGTAACTAAAGATCATCTCTGCTTGGTCTCACCTCCCACCACCAGCTCAGGGCCATTGAACCTGCCAGCCTGGATGCTCAGAGAGCATAGGGACTTTCCTATCTCAAGTTACTTGTTTTATATTTTTAAAAGATTTTTTAAAATAGGCTCAGGATAAAACTTGCAATGAGGACCACTAGTGGAGATTCCGGAGAAAAGAGATTTCCGTGTGATGAGATGAGCTTTTTAGCGGTCAGTTTCTCAGAAGCAGACAGGATTGCTTTAAAAGGCGGAAACCACTGTGCCACATGAGCAATTCTAGCTGAGGGGAGCGGTGCTGAGGGGATGATTTAGAAGAGCTTCGAGCCACAAGGAGGGGGTGGGTCAGTTTCCGAATCAGTGAGAGCTCTTTGGTTGCAAGCAACAGACTGCAATCTGACTAACTTAGGGGGAGAAAGGATACAGAAGTAGATTATAAAAGCAAAGGCCTTGGGGAGGAGTAGAAAAAGGAAGTTCCAGGACCTGGGAGGTAAGAAGTAATGGACAGTCTCAGAGAGGTTGCCATCTGAATAGATCTGCTCCAACAGTTTTCACTTTTTGGGAGAATGTGCCAAGATTATGAATGGAAAAAAAAAAAAAAGAGGAGCGCCAGTCTGGCCGAGCTCGGGTCCTGGGCCTGTCCTGGCCAGGGGGGTGCGGGGCCCCTTGACTGACACGGTCCCTCCGAGAACTGCATGCAGAGGGCCAGGGCGGTTATCTAAAGCTACAGGGGAAGCCTTGGCCAGGGGAGGGACGGAGAAAGGTGGGCAGGCAGAAAGAACAGCTTCTTTCAACCTGGGGCTCCCTTATCCTCTTGTCATGAGCAAGGGCAGACCCTGGCGATCCTGATCGGGCGGGTAGATTTTGGCAAACATTTTGACAAGGTTAACACTTTCTAGAAGCAGCCCCAGCCAGCTGGCGGTCTCCAAGTCATGTTATCTTGTTTCTGCCTACTCCAAGCTGACACGGCAAGAGGGAATTGCCTAATAATCATCACATCATATCACACTTGTGGGGAAGAGAGTGACATCTGTGCAGATCCCCGGTGCCCTCCATCCCCTCGGGGTCTGCTTCCCCATCTGCCATGAGAGGCGGCGCTCTGCCCCTGTGGCTTGCAGACTTTATTGGAGTCGAAGCAGTGGGAACGCGTTCCAAACCAAAGCTATACAGAGACTTCAGGTAGCCGGCACGACCAGGAGGCGCTCGGTGTGCCATGGGGTCCGTGTCTGGCTTCTCCTTTGCCCGGTTGTCCCACCCGGGGCGGTCTCTGAGGCACGGCCTTGGAAATCTCCAGTGAGCTGCTCCCAGCTTCAGTGCTCCAGGCCGGAGGCAGTGCAGAGGGGAAGCTGGCCTTGGCTTTGGCCTTGACCTCCCTGAACCCCATTTTCTCTTCCCAACAGCAGCAGGAAGCCCTGCCTGATGAGACAGAGGTGGTGGAGGAAACGGTGGCTGAGGTGTCCGAGGTAGGTGGATGGGGGCCCCCGCCCCTCCCTGCTCCACGTGCTTCCCCTGAGGAACCCAGATAGGCTCTGTGGGTCTCCTGCTGGATCAGGACATTTGTCCCCGCTGTGCACACAGCCCAGATGGAAACCCTATACATCCTCCAATCTCGACAGCCTCCCGGGTGCTTCCCAAATCTTCAGTGGAACCCTGCAGGGGGAGCTATAATTTTGAAAGTTTTAATTTCTGAAGCTGTGGGACCATGTTTCTTAGATGATCACCCAATCTCCCCGTACATCCAGCTTTTGAAAGGGGAGCTGCCCGTGTTGCTGGCAGGGGTAGAGGGCTTGGCACTGCCTCTTGCCCTAACACTCCGGTGGCCCCGGATGCCTCTGGATAGAATCCAGGGCACAGCCAGCACCGTGGGGTGGTAAGGTTGGGTCTAAATTCTGGAGCTGGCGTTGGTGCTCTCGGTGACCTGGGCCCAGCACTGCTCTCCGGCTGTCATCTCACCTTCCCCTGTGGGAACCTAAAGCTTCAGCCAAGTCCCCTCCAGCCTTCAGCCCTTTCTTCCAGGTCTGGGGTGGGGGTGGGGCCAATGGTCTCATTCTTCTCCCTCCAACCCAGGTACCCGTGGGAGCCAACCCCGTCCAGGTGGAAGTAGGAGAATTTGAGGAAGGTGCCGTGGAAGCTGAGGAGGAGGTGGTGGCTGAAAGTAGGTCCCTTCCCCATTTTTGTCACATCCAGTGTTTGCCCTCTGCTGCCTGGGCGTGGGGACAGCCCACATGAGGTTCCTTCCCAGGGAAATTCGGGGGGGGGGGGGGGGCGTCCTCCCTCCAGGGTGGGCTGTGGAGGAGAAACAGCTTGGACTTGAAGGTTGGGAATATTCTCTGGAATCTGGGAAAGGTCTGTGCAGCCAGGCTGTCCATGCTGGGAGCGGCAGGAAGGGAGGTTCCTCGGCTGGAAACGGCCGCTCCCTGCTCAGCTCTTCTCCTTGATTCCAAAGGGGGGTTCACATTCTCACGGGGTCACTGGTCCACCAGCTCCACGATGGCCTCTGTCTGATCCCAGGCCCCACACAGGAGCAGACCTGAGCACACCTTCCACACTCCTTAGCTTACGTGACTTTCACGCAGGCACGAGGCCTGGATCCCTGGCATAACATCGAGAGAGAGAGAGAGAGAGAGAGAGAGAGAGAGAGAGAGAGACCGACCCCTGGCTCCAGGCCACCGAACTGGCATCTCCATCTCCAACGTGGACGTGGCAGACAAAACCAGCCAGTGTGCATTTGACTTGTCAGCCCCTCTGCGAGCACCCTGGGGCTGCTTGCTTAGCTCCCGGCCCAGCTTCGCCAGCCCCCACAGGAAGTGATGCAGACGGCAGCCCTGGCCCCGGGGCTGTGGAGGATGGGAGATAAAGCATAAGAGCACTTGGCCCCGTGCCCCGCAGAGCAGGCGTCTAATAAAACGACTAAAATCCCCAAGTCAAGCGTCAGGAGGAAAGGCTAGATGAGCTCTCATCCTGAGGACACAGAGCTTTGCTGGGCGCAGGGGCGTCCACTGAATCCTGTTCCTTCCTCTCCACGTCCACCTCCTCCGGTGTTTACCAGGCACCAAGGCTCCATTGTTCCCTGTGGCCTCTGGGCCCTTCTCCCTTTTCCTCTGCAGCCTCTCCAGCCGTGTTTGTTGGGCCTCGCAGCTTCCTGGCTCCATGATGGTTGACTTTCCGCATCGATCTAGAGTCTATTCTAGAATCCAAAAATGCCTCACTGTGATCGGTCACCTGAGAGCTCAGAACACACTGCTTGCTTCGGTCCTCAGGGGAGCCATGGGGAGCCTACAGCACCCCCAAACTGTGCCTGAACATGATCTCAGACTGACTCTCTAATCCCAAGACTGAGCTAACTGCTCCCCTAAATGCCAATCCTGGGCTCAGCAGAAGAGAGGGGAGGGCTCAGCTGCCCAAGGCCCAGGGTGAGGGGGCACAGGCGAGGGCTTCTGCCCAAGGATAGGACTGGATTGGGTTGGGGAGGATGTGCTAGGCCGGGTGGTGTGACTACATGCCCTGCACTCCCAGATCCCTGCCAGAATCACCACTGCAAGCACGGCAAGGTGTGCGAGCTGGATGAGAGCAACACCCCCATGTGCGTGTGCCAGGACCCCACCAGCTGCCCTGCCCCCATTGGCGAGTTTGAAAAGGTGAGCACCGAGGGGTGAGGCGGGGCCAGGGGATTGGGCCCTTCCCAACACACAGTGTCTGACCTGCAACCTGTTAGCTTGGTGGTTCTACTGAGCAGCTCCAGTCTCAAAAGCCTCCCGGCTTTTGCACACTCTGCCTTTTTGCCATCTCCAGCTTTACTTCACCCCATCCTCATCCTCCAGTTTTCCCATATCTCAGCCCTGACTCAGTCGTGCCTCTGCTCAGAGACCAACCATGGCTCTCAGCATGGCCTGAACATTGGCCTGGAGGCCAAAGACTGGGTTCTTTTTAAAATATATATATAATTTTTATTGATTTCAGAGAGGAAGGGACAGGGAGAGATAGAAACACCAATAATGAATCATTGACTGGCTGCCTCTTACACACCCCACACTGCGGATCAAGTCCACAATCCGGGCATGTGCCCTGAATGGGAATCGAACCGTGACCTCCTGGTTCACAGGTCGATGCTCAACCACTCAGCCACGGTGACTGGGCAAGACTGAATTCTTGTTGCAGCCCCACCATTAACTCACTGTATGACCTTGGACTAATCGCCAAGGTTCCTAGCGTGGCCTTCAGTGTCCCCATCTCTGAGATAGGCGAGGAGGGTGGTACCAGCAAAGGGCTTTGGGAGTGAAGGTGAGGTGAGTTATGCTTTGCCAACAGGTGTGCAGCAATGACAACAAGACCTTCGACTCTTCCTGCCACTTCTTTGCCACCAAGTGCACCCTGGAGGGCACCAAGAAGGGCCACAAACTCCACCTGGACTACATTGGACCCTGCAAATGTGAGTCTCCTTAGGCCTTCCAGCCTCCATTTGGGGAGAGAGCACTGAACTGGCATTGGTATGACTCTGCCCCCCCTGTGCTGTGAGATCTCCGGCAAGTCTCCTCCCTCTCTGAGCCTCGGGGTTTCCGTTTATAAAATGAGGTGATTGTCCATGAGCAGGTTCCTCCCAGCTCTGCATTCAGACATCGCCCAGGAATGACTGGGCTGGTGTGAAAGCACAAGAGCAGGGAGAATGTTTTTTCTCCAATGATGAGGAAGTTCTTCTGTAGGGCTAACCTGAGTCTCTCCTGCTTCAACATTGTAAAGCAAAGATGATGTCCCACCTGGTTCTATAACGTGTTTTTAAAATATTGAGTGCTTACAGAGGTATGCCTGTCAATTCCCCTTAGGCCCCTGCTACTCAGTATTGTCAGACCCTTGGCCCTCTTATTCCATTATATTCCTATCTGCCGCTTAAGACACATGACTACCTACCCGATTCTAGAAACCTGGGAGTCAGGTGTTTGGGGGAAGAAATACCAGGGTGTTGTCTGGCTTTCTGTCAGTGATGCCAGGTGCAGATTCAGCTGGCTCAGCTTCCCTATCATTTGAAACACCCAAGGCCACATCTGCTCCCCGGCCAAGACAACATCCACGCTGTGTGTCTGTACATTCTGGCCCCAGATGGCCCTGGAGAGAGCCATGTACCTGCCGCAGGTGTGCAGAATACAGACAGGCGGAGGGAGACCCAGGCTCTCCAGTGGTCAGCCCCCCTCTCCAGTTATGGGGCCCAGGGTGAGACATGAGAAGGCACAGGCCCAGACAAGGGGGAACGTTGGTAGGAGTTTTGGGCAGTGAGACCGAGGAGTGTGCCAAGGAGCCTTTTACCAAGTGGCTCCTGCTGTCCTCTGCAGCCTGCTGCTCACTCACTCCAACTCCCAGTGTTTCCATCACCGAGCTGCTCTTCCATCCCCAGTTGCAGGTGAGGAGACAGTGGTCCTAACTACCGAGGGGCTCTCCAAAGACCCAAGGATGAGGGAAAGACAGGCCCCTGAGCCCCAGGCAACCACATGCCCTGGATGCTGGATGAGGCTCTGATAACGTGGCCTTGAGCAAGTCCCTTCTCTCCAAGCTCACCACTTATAAGTCCCGGAAGAGGGGAGACTTTGATGAACTCTCCAGGTGCCACATTCTGGGATTCTAAGTTCCAAAGACCAGGATGGAATAATTATCACTAAGAATGTTCTGGTGGTGAAACATTCCTGACACCCCACTCCCCCCACCGCCACTAAGCATAGCCTGTGGACAGATGTTATTCCTCAGCCTCCGGCTTCAAACACCTCCCAGTGGTTGTCATCACCAGCCTGGGTCCTAGGCCCATCACTCAGCAAGGTGCAGGAGCCACTGGAGTGAGCCATTACCCTCAGAAAGGTCAGGGCCAAGGTCAAAACCAAGGGAGCAGCAGACATGCCTTTGAGCTTTTCGGTTTGCAGAGCGTTCTTCCCCACACCTGGTCTTTGCTCGTGTGGAGTGAAGAAACTGACCCAGAGAGGCCGAGCCACCGTGCCAAGGTCACTGATAGAAGCAGCTGTGGGATGGAGGCACGAGGTGGGGAGAGCGGCCCAGCCAGCCTGCTGGCCCCAGGCAGGGAGAGTTGGAGTCTGTGCTGACCACCCTGGTATTCTGGACCCTAGACATCCCCCCCTGCCTGGACTCCGAGCTGACCGAGTTCCCCCTGCGCATGCGAGACTGGCTCAAGAACGTCCTGGTCACACTGTACGAAAGGGATGAGGACAACAACCTCCTGACCGAGAAGCAGAAGCTGCGGGTAAGTGGTCTCTTTCCAGGGCGCCTGCCTGGCCCCGAGCTGGCCCCAGCCTGTCTGAGATCCACAGTCCCAGTGCCAGAGCTAGGCCGGCAGGTGCAGGCCTATATCCCTGCTCTGGCAGGCGCCTTATCCTGGGCGCTAACGCAGACTTTCCCTCACTGCCTGTGGAGGTTCCTGTGCACAGTCCCACCTCAAGGCTCTGAGAAGTCCTGTAATGAAGAGACCTGCGGCTCACTTGGCTTAGCTCACTGTTAACAAGAGACACAAACAACCCTGGTACATTTCCCTCTGGTCTGTGGCTCTTGAACTATAACGGACTTTAATGGACACATCAAGAATGTGGCGTATTGACAAAATGCAGGTTCCCAGGCCCGCTAGATCAGTGTCTCTGTGAAGAACCCTTGGGGATCACCCAGGCCCCCACCTTCGTGGATGAGATGCTCATACCCCGTCTATGCCACTCCCCTCATTTTGACCCTTGGGCTTGGCCGGTCTCTGCCTGCTCTGGCCTCCTGTCGGGTGGGGGACCCTGCCTGGCCCAGACAGTGCCGCCAGGCCCCCTGTCACACAGTGTCTCTGCCTGCTCTGACCTCCTGTCAGGGTGGGGGACCCTGCCCGGCCCGGACAGTGCCGCCAGGCCCCCTGTCACACAGTGTCTCTGCCCTGCAGGTGAAGAAGATCCACGAGAACGAGAAGCGCCTGGAGGCCGGAGACCACCCCGTGGAGCTGCTGGCCCGGGACTTCGAGAAGAACTACAACATGTACATCTTCCCGGTGCACTGGCAGTTCGGCCAGCTGGACCAGCACCCCATCGACGGGTAAGGCCAGGTCTGGGGCACGGAGGGCTGGCTGCCCTGGCCCCGGAGCGCACAGGCATGGGTCAGAGCTGGCAGGAGCACTAGGTACGGCCAACGACCCTCTCAGCCTCCTCTGATGCTCCCAGCCCTGGAGCCCACAGTGTGCCCTGGGGCTGGGGCAGGAAGGAGAGGCGTCCTGAGAAAGGATGCAGAACTGGGGGGAAGAAAGCAATAGGCACCCCGTAAGCCAGGAGAAGCGGAAGTCAGCAGAGCCTGACAGTCCTTCCTCAGCCCTGTGAGTGCTGGCCTTGGGCGTCCATTCCTCCAGGGAAGGAGTGCCAGACTCCAGAAGGGTGGCGCGGTCTGAGGTGGGGCAGCCTGCACGCCCACAGTCCTTCAGCCAGACCCTGAGACCCAGCCCCACAGGGCAAACTGGCCCAGGGGGTTCATAACAATTCACAAAGGCAATCCCATCGCATCGCAGCCTGTGGTTTGATTGTTCCTGCCTCTCCGCCCAATGAGTTATGAAGGCTGTGCAACCGCCCGCAGAATAGGCAGGCAGTGGGCCAGTGAACAGCCGCTGCTGGGGGTCCATGTGCCCCAGTCTAGGCGGGGGCCTTAACGGTAATCGGACTGACACGGGCCCTGCCCCCAGGAGCGCACACTCTGGGGATGGTCTAGCTGGACCTCACAATGGAAGGGAAAAGGTAAAGACGCTCTGGAAGGTGCAGGCGGGGGCTTGACCACCTGCGGCTGAGCAGGGGTAGTCACCCTCACCGAAGCTCCTGGCCCTCCCTTGCTGTGCTCCTGGAGAAACACGTGGGCTGGGGAGCTCGCTGTGCCCATGGATGCTTGACTCCAGGAGGCTCATCTCTCACTCGGGCACCAGCCCTTGTGCCCGGAGCCTGCCCGCCCTGTCGGTGATCTCCGTGGCTGGGGTCTCCTGGGCTCTGGGAACTCCCTGCTGCTTCTCTCCCAGGCTCTTCCCATGGCTGGGATCCAACTGGGTCACTCCCCGGGGGAGGGAGGGAGGGGAAAAGTGAGGGGAACATCTGGAGCTGGGGCAGAGTGACCGGATCCCACCACAGGGAAGGGGCCGGGAGGGAGGTTTCTGGGTGGGGCTGCAAGGACTTGCATCTGGAAAAGCGGTCCAGTCTAAGCCGGGGCCCAGACTCCCCTCTTCCTGTCCCGGAGCTGCGGGGTGACTTGCCCGGGACCCTCCCCTCCCCTGGGCCTCAGTTTTCCCGCAGATACACAACAAAGGGGAGGGGTGTTCCTTCCACATCAGATGCTGTGGTTCCTTCCATGAGTTGGGTGGGGCACCGAGGGTCTGGGGATTGCAGAGAAAATCAGAGTCACGTTACACCCCCTTGGGAAGAGTGTTCTGAGGACAACCAGTTGAGGCTCTGAGGAACGAGGGAAAATCCTACATGAGCTCTGGAGTCAAGGCCAGCGGGAGGGAGAGGGACCGGGACAGGGCTGAGAAAGAGAAGGCCTCCCTCTCAGTTACATCCTACATAAACAAAGCGCTGTGGGGAAGGTTAGAGGCCCTTGGCCCTCCCTGCCAGTCCCAGTCCCTTCCCACGCTCCTCCCAGAAGTCAGCACTGTCATCAGCTTGATGACTCTTTGTAGACTCTTTCTGTGCATTTGCTGTAGAAATGTGTGTCCCTAGACAACAGGCGTGGCTTCATACCAGACTTTGATCTACCAATAGCAGAGCTGCTGAAAGTTTCATCTGAAGTTTCTGTGCCTCCGATTCTTAGCCAATTAGGAAACAAATGCACCCAGAGACCTTTGCTATGAGCCCATGGGACCTCAGACATCATGGTCAACGCCTCCTCTTCTGATGGAGGGGGAAACTGATCCTCAGGTCGGGCAGTGCTACTCTCCAAGTCCCACAGCAGACCAGTGGCTTTCTCACGCCTAAGGCCCTTCCCACCTCCCTCCTCCTCACCCCGTGCAGGTACCTGTCCCACACCGAGCTGGCCCCACTGCGTGCCCCCCTCATCCCCATGGAGCACTGCACCACCCGCTTTTTCGAGACCTGTGACCTGGACAACGACAAGTACATCGCTCTGGATGAGTGGGCCGGCTGCTTCGGCATCAAGGAGAGTGAGTGTCTGAGCAGAGGGGCTGCTGTCCTCCACCTCCCTCCCCTCTTCTGTCATCTGTGTGTCTGTCCTCTGCCCAGCTCTGCTCTCTGCCGAGTTAACTCCTGTCTGCTCTCCCTGTGGGGTGAGCCTCGCTCTCAGGGCTTCCTGTCTACTGGGCCATCTCTTTCTCTCTCCCTGCCTCGAGTATTAGCATTAGCGCTCACTCTGCCTGGATGAGGGAACTGGCAGGTCCCTAGAGAGGAGAGAGGAAACATAACGTGGCATGTGTGTAAGTGACAGGGACAGGGAGACTACAGTGCTCAGTCACCGACTTCCTGGGTGACCTTGGAAGGTCACCTGGCCCTGGTCCTGGGGGTGGGGGATCCCCGACTCCTCAGGAAGCGCGCCTTGTGCACACGGCCTGGTGTCTAACTCTGTTCTCTCTTCTCGTTTGCAGAGGATATCGACAAGGATCTGGTGATCTAAGTCCACACCTCCGTCCGCAGTACCGGATCCTCTCTCTTTAAACTTCCCCTCCCTGTTTCCCCCCAAATTTAAAATGTTTGGATGGTTTATTGTTCTGCCTGGGGACAAGGTGCTAATATAGATGTAACTGAACACATTAACGGTGCTAAAGATGGAAATTGTAACCCAAATCATGACATTCTTAGCGGTAACTCTGCCTCTTGCTCACCCACTAACGGTCCCATTTTTCTCCCCTCATCGTCTTAGTAGCAAATGAGTGGGGACTTTGACCTGTTCACATCTGCCTTCAACACATCTTGCATCTTCAGATTTGCTCTGAGTTTTCTGTTTCAAACTCATACTCACCAATCAGATTCTGTGTCAATTTTATTTCGGGGTGTTGGCTGCCGGTGGGGTGGGTGGGGGTCTTCCCCACACGGCCTGAAGGTGGCAAAAGGAAGTAACAGACACGTGACGTCGGCAGGAATGTTTCTGGGACTAGAGGACCAGGGGTGGGGGAAGTCCTGGAAACCCACCTAGGGAACAGCAGATAACCAGTCTTGCTTGCCCGGGGCTGTGCAGGGAGAGCCCGGGGCTGTGTTTGAAAGCATGTAAGCTCTCGCTCAAACGCAGCTCCTCACCATTCCCCTCGTCTTTCGGTGCCATCCCCCCCGCCTCGCCCCCCACCTTAGGCTGTTTATTCAAACTTTTGGGAGCAGTGGACCACCAGTTCTCTGGATCCACCCAGCCTCTGGGGGTGAATCACTACATGCTACAGGGCCTCTCCCCTCCTAGCTGCTGGGAGAGGCAGGACTGGGATGCTGTTCAGCCAGGCAAGCCAAAATCAGGAGTGAAGTGTAGAACGTTGGAAAATAGAAAAAGTGGAGTTAGTGAATTGGTTTTGTTTTCTGAGGTTGGTTTTTTTTCCTTCTTCTTTTCATTTTTGGATGAGGGGGTCTTTCCCTTGGTTTCTAGCATGTTTCTCCTTTTCTCCCCTCCCCCGTTTTCCGTCTACTAACCAAGAGAAACTTCAAAGTCAATGGATGGTCAGATCTCACAGGCTGAGAACTCGTTCGCCTCCAAGCATTTCATGAAAAAGCTGCTTCTTATTAATCATGCAGACTCTTGCCCTGATGCGGAGTTTGACAAATCTTTCAAAATAAAAGTAACGACTTAGAAATTGCCTTCCGGAGTGATTGTGTATGTGTCTCAGTCACCTCGCTACCCTGACATGCAGACCTGTGGACATGTGTGTGTGTACATACGGCTACACATATGCAAACTTTTGCAAACACACATGCTTTTGAACATACACCTGCACACACACAGGCTTATTTATGCACAGGGAATGTATGGTTCCTATAAGGACGAATTTGTCTTATTTTTATGACTTGTGGGCTAACTCTTTTCATTATTGCACTTCATTATCAGCAACACCAGGCTATGCAACAATCTCCTTTCACTACTTAGTTATTCATCCATCCATTTATTCAACAAGTGTTGATGATGAACCTGCTAGGTACCAGGTCCCATGCCAGGTGCTGGAGATATCTGTGGGCAATGCAGACAAAGCATTTGTTTGTCTGGAACACACAGTTTATCGAGGAATAGATTAAACAACTGCACAACTAAATATAAATTACAAGCTGTGGTAGGTGCCGTGAAGGAATATAAGAAACCATGAGTGTAACAGGAGAGCACAGAATTATTCTGGAGTCACGCTGCCCCATTTGGTGGCCACTACCCATGCGTGGCTATTTACATTGAAATTTGAATTAATTAAAAATTCAGCTTCTCAGTCACACTAGACATTTCCAACGCCAATAGCCACAGGTGGTTAGCGGTTGCCTTACTGAGCAGGGCCGATGCAGACTTTTCATCACTGCAGGAAATTCTATTGGATGTGCTGTTCTTGGGGCATCTGGGAAGATTCCTTGAGAAAATTTGAGAAAGGGATTGAGTGCGGGGGGTCGGGGAAGGGAAAAGGGAGGGGAAAAGCATTCCAGGCAGAGGGAACAGCATGTGCACAGGCTTTGAGGTAGAAGTGGAGCACGATGAGTCTCAAGCCAGCGTGGCTGGTGCACAAAGTATGAGGAGTAGGTCATACCGGGTGAAGCAAGAGGTGGGCAGAGGCCAAACCAGGCAGCCGCGTAGGCCGTGGTAAGGAGTTTGGATTTTATTTTTTGTGCAGTGGAAGTCTTTGGAGGCTTTTAAGCCAGAGAGAGGGGTGGGTATTAAAATTTGCTTTAAGAAAACACCGATTCTGGAAAGATAATGGCATAAATCTGCAGAGCACTTCGTAAAGCTCATGCATGCCATGATGTGATTTTTCAGGGTGGTGTCCCAAGACTCCCCTTAGAGAGACAGGTCCAAGATGTGGGCTCCACTGCAGGGGTCACACAGTGGGTCTTCAGGTGCCCAGCTCAGAGTTGTTTCTCCCCACCTCTTATTTTAAATTGTTTTCAAATCACTAAAATAATACAAACTCATAAAAATCAGACTGTTTTCTGGTGTTCTTTTTTCTGCATAACAGGGGAGAGAGGAATGAGAGGGACTGGCCAGTTGGGTCTTGGCCATTTGTGGAATGCAAACCAGTCTCATAATCTCTAGGATTATCTCTCTCTCCAGGCAGAGAGACAGATAAAGTAAATTTCAGTGTTGGCTTAGCACTCATGCTGTGACGCTTATGAGGTGCCTGCAGTATGCTAGACATGGCCGGTGTTCTCATCAGCAAGCTGGGCCGTGGGCCTTGCTGCCCTGGAGTTGCCATTAACAACCCCTTCAGGTAGAAAACATCATCATAATAAAAGCTTAATGTGCTAATTAGACCTGATGACATTCCAGATGAAGCCGAGGCTGTAATAATAAAAGCTTAATATGCTAATTAGACCTGACGACATTCCAGATGGACTTGCATCTGGAAAAGCGGTCCAGCAGCTGGAGGGAAGCCTGGGTCCGGGTGCCAGAGGGAAGCCGGTGCCGGCAGCTGGGGGAAGGAAGGCCTCCCCTTGCACGAATTTCGTGCATCGGGCCTCTAGTAGAAACATAAAGCACAGAGCTAGCGGGGAACAAGGACTGAATAGGTATCCCCTCAGGTCAGGAGGGAGATGTGACATTTGCCCTGCGGACTTTAGGATGCAGTCCCGGGCAGATCACCCCTGTGATGCCCAGCACCCACTATCCAACAGCTTTGCCACCACCTTACAGATGAGGAAAAAGGTTCAGGGAGGTTGAGTGACTTGGTCATGCAATGGGGCAATAAAAAATGGG